CTTGAGATACTTTCACTGTGTTTTATGAACAAATCTACTATATCAAGAATGAATGCTTATCATATTATTACAGAAACGAGATTTGTTTTGATAAACATGATAACTCCTTTTGCTTATTTTTAGACTGTTCAGCAGACATGATCCCCAAGCTGAAGAGGCTCTAGCAAAGAGGAGGGGGCGAAATAGTCCAAATGGAAACCTTATTAGAATGTTGGTTCTTTTCTTTCTTGAAAGTGAGGTAAAAAATTCATTTTTAACCTTTGCACATTTAATAAAACCTGCAACTTAAGTAGTGATTTATCAACATACAGTTGTCTATCTTTCCCTTTTTTTCCATAATTTCAGAAATACTGTATGCCCTTTACCCTGCCCCCCATTTCCTTGTCCATCAAGCAAATTCAGCTCAAGATCTTCTTTGTGGTTTATTTTGCTCTTGCATATCCTCACTGTACTCAGTACTGCATTGCCGGTGCGATGGTGGCTCCCAGGATTCATTGCTACATAGAAATTTAACTGGTTCTTTTTTAATATAACCTTGTAAGGAATATACCTCTGGAGTTACTCTATATGGAGTAAAATAATTTGAACCGGAAAGGAACGAAAATTACATAATGTCTCAAATTATGATTAGAATTGTAGAATAATTCAGAGTGGAAAGGACCTGAAGGTCATTAGCTCAAAGCAGAGTCAGCTGTGAGATTAGATGAGGTTGTTCAGGGCTTTATGCAGTTGCATCTTGAAAATGTCAGAGGCTGGAGACTGCGAGCACACATACGATGACATAAAGTGTTTGATGAACACATTCAGGATGGGATTGTGCCCATAGTTTATGTCTATAGAGACAGCGTATATGGGAAGTTTTATGGTGGACATACTTATAGTAATTCAGGTAGGGAATGGCAGTGGAGTGGAGGAAAACTTGAGAAGATGAACTATCAGGTACAGGATGCTCTGAAGATAGAGGGGGAAAGGTGTAAAAATGATACATTTGATTTGGTAGTAAATAGGTGGCAAAGGAAGACTGAAAGAAAGGAATGACAGAAATGTTCCTCTGCAGAAGGGGGGTAATATATCTTGTGTAAAAAGCAAAAGGAAGGGTATTGCAATTGGGTATTTTAATTGTTATGAAGCCTTGAACAAGAGACTTGACTGTGAGAATAAAAAGAAACACAATCAGAGATACTGAGAAAGAAGGATAACATTTAGGTACAGTGTTAATGTTAACATTTTTTAGAAACACCTTATAAACCTGCAAGTTAAGTCTGGATGAAATATCACTACTTGTGTGAGCCTTCAATCTATCTGAATGTATTTTTAATTCCAGCTTCTTAAAAACTTAGATTTTAATATGTCATTGTATTTTCCAGTGACAATTCCTTAAATCTGAGTGTGTGTGATTGGGAGTTACCTAGTGCTAAGCTTGTCCATCCTTCTGAGGAGAAAAGAAACTCAGCTTTGCTCCCAAAGCCATGATCAGCAAAGTGTCTTCCCATGCAAGCCATATGCTGCTCCCCGAGATCGCTTCTCTCTCAGGGGCAGTTTGTGCTCTTGCTGTTTTTGATACAGTTGTTAGAAACAAAGCAGAGTATTATGACTCCAGTTTTAATTAAAAGTTAGAGAATTGGAAGTTTCCATCTGCATAGGACTAAAAGTTGAAAGCACTGCAAACTGAGAGTGTGCATTCAGAAGAGGGAACAGGTAAACTTGTGACAAGTATCAGTAAGCTCTGTGACACATGACATGTTTCCCAAAGCTGTCAGAAACAGAAGAGTTAGGTAAATGTGCTGACACCTCCTTTCCTATACTCTTAGATGTTTTCCAGTTAAGGAGTCACTCCCATGTCTGGCAAGCAAATCAAAACTGCATATTGTGCTTGTTACTTTTTAATAGCACTTAAAGATCAGTTTATAGAACAGAAGCAGCCTATGGATTATTTTTCTCGCTTTACAACAATTGTGTTAATTCAAATAAAAACATTTCTTGCAGTTAAAGTTAGTGTTAATTCTATACCTCCTGAAATCAGTAGGATTTCTGCTACTGTTTTCTGAGCATGTAGCAGCAAGTATGAAAAATAAATGCCTGTTCAAAACAAATATATTACAACTCTCTCTTAGTCTGATGTCTCACCATCTCTTCTTATCATAATGCAGTAAGAAAGGGAGGAAAGATAAGTTTTTATGGCTCCTAGGTCAAAACTCTGAGAAAGATTTTTCACAAACAAGCTGGAAAAGAAGCTCAGTTTAGTTTTATTCCACGTTCTGTTAAAACATAGCCCCATTGTCATGCAGTTGTATCATTCACTTGGAAGAGAGACCTTCCAGAGTTGGTTTTAAACTGAATTTCTTTCCAACTAACATAAGAGTACATGCCCAGGACGCTCTCCGTGGCCAAATGATTGTGTGAAAGATGAAGAACTGCTGCTTGTACCAGAACGCTGTACTGATGGTTGCTTTGGATTTTCTAGTTGCATGAACATGCAGCGTATTTGGTGGACAGTTTGTGGGAGAGCTCTCAAGAACTGTTGAAAGACTGGGAATGTATGACAGAATTGCTCTTGGAGGAACCAGTCCAAGGAGAAGAAGGTATTTGTTAAACCTCTATACGTTACTGATATATCACACAATTTTGTTAATTATTCCTTAAAAGGATGTTTCACTGTGGGTGATAGAGGTATTTATGTTGTGGTTTGTTTAGAAAGCATATTTGAAGAAGATTTTAGTTTAATCCATTTTTAATGCACTTTGCTTCAGAAGCAGCATTTTTGTACTCAGTTTTTCATCTTGCGAAGTCTGCTGTGCTGTGGTTCCCTAGTATTAAAGGCTAGGACTGCTTCTTGTCTGAATGGTTAAATAACTAGTGTATTCATGAACACTTCAATAAATCAAGCAGCTAATACAATTTTGAATACACAAGCACTTCAGGTAGTGTTACTTAAATATGAGGCTTTTCCAGACAATGTTAAAACCTAATGAGTTCTCACAAGGAAAAAAAATAAAGGAATTATTTTGCCATTAGTTTTGAATCTCCTTTTGCTAATAATAGATCTGCATGCGCAAAGTAACCAGGGAGGTTGGTGGCAAAGAGACCGTAACGATAATGTGTCATTTGAGATCCTTTATAATCCTTCTGGATTCTCCTGCTTCAGGGACCTTTGCAGGGGTTAGAAGGTTGAAAAACTGATGTACTCTTCCTGCTTCCTAGCACGATGTGCTCATCATCTCACTGTTTCAAAATCTGACCTTTTGGTATCCACCTGCTACAATTGTGGTATTTATATGGTAATTTCCTTAGGAAATTAGGCACTTTGATTCTTTGTTTCTGTGTAGCCTAGTGAGGTTGGATCCTCTAGATGTTGTGACCAGAAATACCTCCCAAAGAACAGACATAATACTTCCTGACAGTGAGAATATTTTGTAAGAAGTGTCAGTGAACAGTCAGTCACTCTCTGTCTTCCATGACACTCTTTATTTTGTAGATCTTTGTTATATTCCCTTTCATTCATCCTTTTTCCAGACTAGATTTCTCTGGACTGCTTTCATTTCTGCCGTTTCCATTTTGAGATTATGTGAATGGTAATTCGAACAGCAAGCCAAGAAAGCCTTGGTTTTATAAATGGACCAAAATGACATTGTCTCTGTTGTTCTCTGTTCCCTGTGTTTTACAGCTGCATTCACAGATTTGTCGTCTTTAAGATGTCTTGCACACAGATCAGAACTGATGTTATTTGTTCTTTTCCCTCCATAGCAATGTCTGACCGGCAGGAGAGTGCTCTTATTGAGTTGATGGTGTGTACAATCAGACAAGCTGCTGAAGCACATCCTCCAGTAGGCAGAGGCACTGGCAAGAGAGTAAGTGGTGCCGCAGCAGGTAGCTCGGACCTGTGTGTGTTACTATACTAAACGTAAAATATTTGTCTACAATGCCACATTTTGACACTTTTAAATTAGGTTTTTATAATTGGTGTTTCCTGTTTCGTGTGAACATTTTTGAAGAAAAATAGTAGAAATTCTATTTCTGGAGATGTTTGGTGTTTGTTTGATTGATTTTGGGTTTTGCATTGCCAAGTTAAGTAATATAAATTTACAGCATGAAAACCTTTTTAAAAATTTTTTAGATGTTCTTGTTATCATACCCCTGGCTTACACTTGTAATGTACCCACATCTACAGCGCTTAATGTTAAATCTAGATTAGAACTGAAAGCGTAGAGCTCGGGAGCAGAACAAGATTATTTCTGACTGTCTTCCGTGAAAAGGTATCTGCTGCTAATATGGACGTAAAATTTGCAGAAAAAGTCAACAATATCTTTATCGTGAGAGTAGTTAAGCTCTGGAACAGAAGCTGAGGCTTAGTGCAGTTTCCATCCTTGGTGTTTTTCAAGACCTGACTGGACAAAGCCCTGAGCACCCCGCTCTGACCCCTGAGCTGGCTCTGCTTTGAGCAGGAGGGGTGGGACTAGGGCCAACCTGAATGCGTCTATGGCTTTATATATCCATCCTCTTTGGCCTCTTCCACTGAGGGCCCTGAAAATTTAAGAATTTGACATTCTGGCCATATTGCAATCTAGCTGCCTCTTTCATTTATTTTATAGTGACTGTTTGGGGATCAGTTGGAAGTCCGTTCCTAAGGCTGGGCATGCAGTTTTAAGCATTTCAGTATAAGTTGCACGTCAGGGTGATCAACAGGCTTTCAACTGTATTCTCCCTAAATACAGCATCCATGTTCCATAAGAGTCTCAGGTTCCCAAATGGATTTCCCTGACTTTTTGTAGTCCCTCTCTTACTTAAATTAGACTAAAATGAAATAAACCCATGTGAAGATTTGGTATTTCTGTTAGGTTCTGTTCTGAATAATTGTAACTAGTTTATTAAGGGAAGCCACAGACTTAATGAAGGTGAAATCTGGAGATAGACTTAGCACTCCTTATTGCTAAACTAAATGCAATTACTTAGCTGCTTAATTTTTATGTGCCAAAAGCAGATTAGCCTCATGCCCAGAAACAGCATCCCAGGAAAAGCGCCAAGAAACCATCAATTTAAACATGCTTTTTATGTACCTTGATTTATAAAGTATATTCTAAGAAATTCCTAATTTATTAAAATTTTTGAGGGGTGAGGGGAGACTGTATGCTGTATGAAATCACTTACTCAAATTTACACAAGCATGTATTATCCTCTGTTACCAAGACTGTATTTTAAGCACAACTTGTGTTTTGTCTCTAGCTGCAAGCCCTTCTAGCAGACAAAGCAACCTTTAAATTTAACAAAAATTTCATGTTTGTATTTTCTATTTGGAGCACTGAATAATGTCACTATTAGCTTTCCGGGTATTTTTTCTACCTCAAGAGATCTGCAGTTCAGTTCCCTTAAGTTCAGCAAATTGCTTAGTCTTAGATTTTCAATGTCTGTATTTCTTCAAAGCTAAAGAAAACACTTGAGTAAAATAAATTTCACCTTCTGAAGGATGATCAAAAGAACCTCGAGATCATCCTAGGGACCCAGATTAATTCATAGCACCACTGAATAGCAATACTTGGTCACCAGAATACGACTGGGTTGTTAGGGGATGGGGGCCTGACTTGCTAGCTGCGTTTGTGTTGCCTTCCGATGAAGTAGCAGCTTTTGCTGGCACGGGTGGTGCTGCACTGTGAGTTGGTGCAGGAGTTGCGGTTGCTGCTGTGTGTATCTGGCTGTCTGCTGTGTACCATGGAAGTGGTTTCTTACCCTGGTTACAAATCGTTCGCCTTCACTTCCATGGTTGTTTTGGATTTCTGATGACACGATAGGCTACTTGTCATCCAAGCACATGTTTTGTTTCCAGCTATTCCTCCTCACTTAGAGAGAGATGTAGGTTTGACATTTAGCTTTTGCTTCTTTTCAGTTAGATCATGAGTTGTGGGATGGTAACTGCAGGGATCTCTGACTTGTCAGTAGAGGTTTGTCACGTTCTCATGATCTCGCTAGCATATTCTCTGAGTTGAAATGGGAGCAGATTTCTAATTATGCACTCACCTTCTTGTGAAATAGTTTCTTCTCTGGCTTTAGCTTGTAACTCTTATTGTGCAGTCTGGCAGCTTTGCTATACATAAATCATTAGCTAACTTGAGTATTTTATTATCATTATTTGTTTTCAAAAGTATTCTCTCCTTTTCAGAAGCCGAGAAACCAGATCTAAGCTTTTATGAAGCATGCTGTTTTGATGATTGTCTCTCTGTTCACTGTTTCAAGGTGGTTTTGCTATGACAGCATTAGGAGCTTCAGTGTATCTGTCACGGAAATTTGTAAATGAGTTCTGTGAACTTGGATGTATGTTCTCACTGAGAATTACATTCCAGTTTAGAGATGAGGCCATGAATCTGCTAATGAAAATCGCTGTTACAGTGTGGTTTGGTTTTAGTTTTCTTAATTATACTTGAGTTCACCCTCAGGTCTTACATTAACACTTTATTTAATGTGTGAAAGCCAGAGCTCAATTCGCTTGGAAGCAATAGCAAAACTTCCACTGACTTGAGTTATATTTGAATTTCAATCCTAAAAAAATGTTGCTGTGTTGAGACAGTATCATGCTGGATGATATGATTTTTTCCTTTTCAATCACGGCTTCTTAGGACACATGGTCCTCCCTTTCTATCACTCTTCAGTCCAAATGCGTTTGAGGTTTTTATTCCCTCCTCTTTAGATTTATGAAAAATACCCTTGCATGGATTTTTGTTTGTACTATGAACTTTAGAAAAATTAATGAATGTTATAGGCAGAAATTGTATTTACTTTAGTTATTTTTGATCACTTGCAGGTCTTGACAGCAAAAGAAAGAAAAACCCAGATAGATGACAGAAATAAATTGACTGAGCATTTCATTATTGCACTTCCTATGTTGCTATCAAAGGTATGTTTTTCAACAAAATAAATCTCTTGCTGGTATTTACGACTGTCTTTAAACTTTTTCATTCTATAGTGTAGGTGTTCATTTTTACTTCACTTTTGTTTTGTTTTGTTTCAATGATGTTCTAGTATTCCGCTGATGCCGAGAAGGTTGCAAATCTCCTGCAAATCCCTCAGTATTTTGATCTGGAAATCTATAGCACGGGCAGAATGGAAAAGGTATAGTACATTGGGCAAGAAGTCTGATTGCTTTCAATTATCTGATTACTATTCTAGTCACACAGTACTGTGCCTTCATTTGGCAGATTAGTAATTTAACCTTGATTTGCTGTATTCTTTGAATGACTTGTTCTTTGAGTTTCATTGTTCAGGTAAGGTGAAAGCTGACCTTCTTTTCTGATCTACAGCATCTGGATGCCTTACTGAAACAGATAAAGTTTGTTGTGGAAAAGCATGTGGAATCAGATGTTCTCGAAGCCTGCAGCAAAACCTACAGCATACTCTGTAGTGAAGAGTATACAATCCAGAACAGAGTTGACATAGCCCACAGCCAACTTATTGATGAATTTGTGGATCGATTCAACCATTCTGTAGAGGATCTGCTGCAGGAGGTTTGTTTTCTTAAAATGAATTTAGTTAGACTACCTAAAATACGCTATGATAAACTACAGAAAAATATTCTTGCCCAGTCATGAAATTACGTGTCCGAAGATGTAGTGCAGCAGCAACTATTTCCTAATTATTTGGAGTGATTTCACCATGTGAAAAATCCCTTGGACTAGCCATTAAGCCTGCAGAGCATTGATGAGAGAGAGACAGACCAACCACAGGACAATCCTGCTTCTGAAAATTTAGTCTACTATTTAAACAGTCTACATAAGAAATTAAATAGATGAATGAATGAAAGCTGATGAAAAATGCAGAGAAAGATGCGTTTACATTAATGCTTGTGGTGATTCCAGTAGTCCCAAATGGATATGCAGGCAGCAGAATCAAGATTGGATTATGTCTTGAGTGGGAGAGAGGATTTAGTAAAATATTTATAATGGCAGATTGAAAGAGCTCTGGAAAGAATGAAATAAAGATACAGGTCTGAAACCTGGAGGTACCTGGGATTTACTTGTAAGAATTTCTCCTTCAAAATGCGTAAGACTGAATACATTAAGTAAGAATAGAAACCTTACTCATTTTTTCTTGTTTTACATCAATTTAACTTTGTGTAGCACTACTTAATTTGTTGTAATTCTCATGCTTTTTAAACATAACTTAAGGGCTGCATAGACCTTTTTCTTCACTTCTGGTCATGCACTGCACTGTGGCAGATACTTTAATTTTTGATGTACATTTATAGAACGTTAAGCTACAGTCTCTATTTTAGAATTGCATATTAAAGAAAATAAGCTCTTTTCTATCTTTAAGTAATATGCCATATAGAGGCATACTATATATATGCCATGTCACATTGCAGAGTAAATAAAAAATTTTTCTGTTGCTGTAGGAATGTACATGAGTAAAAAAGACAGTGCAGGCAGGAACCCAGAGGAGTTAGTGCGCCGCTGTACATTCTTTGATAGATTACATTTACTTTGCTGTCTACCTGTCTGCCGTTTTATATCTACTTTCTCAGAAAGTTCTGAGCAGAGCCTGAAAAGACATTCCAGAACTTGTGCTACATCTTTGCCCATCTGTGTGTGGCAAGGGAATCCTTTCAGCTAATGCCACGTTATATGTCTTGGCCATCTGTTTTAATAGCTGTGGATTTTTTAAGTTCCTCACCTCTGACCAACAGGACCAAAAAACTCTGAGACAAAAACCTTGGGGAATCTATTGCTGACTTGGGTAGCAAAAAGGGCTAAAGTTGGACTGCCAGCACAAAGATCCAGGTTCAGAACCAGCCGAGTTCTCTACACCAGATGCCCAGCAACTGATCACTGTAAACAGCGGCCTCCGCCCTTTCCACTGGTACCCACTGACAGAGGTTTAGGAACTTCGGTGAGGTCCTCACATTTTTCAGCATCCACACATCCAACACCAAGGTTCAGTCTGGCTCTGTATGCAGGGACAAATCTCCTTTGTTGTTGCTCCAAACCTGGCTTTTGGAGAATCTTCAGCTTATGTCTCCACAGCCAAGCTCAGATTAGCAAAAAGCATCTCCTTCACACTGTCTTGCCTCGAGATGGAAGAAAGTGCCTATGGGATTTTTCAAGAATCAGACCAAGAAGCAAGTGGAATCCCAGTACTTTGGCACTGACTTGCCATTTCTGTTATACTGTCTTGTCGTAAGACTTTATGAAAATGTCTCCTTTCAGCTTTTTCTCATAGTTTTATCTTGGAACTTCTCCAAACCAAATGCCATGTTTGTTCTCTCTGAAGACAGTCGTGTAACAGCCAGAGTAACAAACAGAAATTAGGTCTGTCTGAGGACATGCACCTTTTCTGGAAGAGCCTCCTTGATGTTTCTACACTGTTCAGCTGTATAGATGTTATTCTCCTGTGGATCCATTCAAGGATTCAGAGATGGCATTCTATTCCCTGGATAGTTTCACCCAAGAAAAGATCCACTCACCGTTTTATTAGTATTGCTGAGACACCCACAGATATTTTTTCAACCATAATCCCAAACTCAGTTAGCAAATACAGGAACACTTAGATTCCTTCTGCTGTACAGGAGCTACTCTTTCTCTAACTTACCCATTCTCATCCACACAGCAGCTTTAAAGAGGAGTCAAGACAAGAACAAGTCCTCTAGTTCTTTAGGTCCTTTCCTGTCATCCACATACCTTTCTGGATGCCAGCAGTCCAGTTAGTGTTGAGTTTTGTTTACTATAGTATCAATCCTCTTGTTCTTTGATTCTGTGATCTGAGGAGATCCAGTGCTGTCCTTGCCTTTGCTACCTCGCAGTCCCTAGCTGTATATTTTCAGGAGCCCTTCTTAGGGAGTCCTGTTCCACAGGCAGTGTGGTCTCTGAGCCTCAAAGAACTACGTTCCAACACTACAAGCATTAAAGATGAAAGGAGATTGGAAATCTACCTCTCTTCCACCCTCAGCCCACATTTCAGATTAATTATGCCCGCAAAGCATTTAGGTCCAGCCATTTTAGACTATGTATACATGAATGTTGAGAGAGTTTAGAAAACACACTCCATATTTTAGGTATGCTATACAGGTCTGCAGTCCTGTCCTCTCGCTTTCTGACACCGCTTGAAAGATCCCTCTGGTCTCGTGTTTTACCCAAGGGAAGTCAGGTGAGAGCAGTGAGACACTGGGATTCAGAAATTACTTCCCACCAGTCTTCTCAGGAGAAATGAACTAGGGGAGAAAGACTTTTTCCCTGCAATTTTCCTTTATTACTAATTGCTGTTGAATCAGGAAGCCAGTAACTGCTTATTCCCACTCTATTTCCCTTCACTTCTCTTTGCAAGCACCTTCTCTTTATGCAGTACTCCAGTGCGAGAAGCCCTGAAGGATGCACTGAGAGTACTGGGCAGAGAACAAAGACTGGGCTCATGAAGGAACATGAGCCAGTGATACCAAAATACTTCTGATATATCTCCTTCCTTTACT